GATCACTCTCAAAGAGCTGCCTGTGGATCTGCCTGCACGGGCACAGTCCCCCTGCTAGTGGGAAGTGTAAAAAAATAAATAATTAAACATGTTTAAAATAAAATAAATGTATTTATATATTTATATATAAAATATATATATTATATATATAATATATATACCTCTTATATAAATGTAACGTCATACGTAGTGTATTTTAATATTAATATAAGTGCATATATTAGTATTAAAATACACTTAGAATTAAGTTACATATATATAAGATATATAAATTATATATATAATACATATATATTTTATATTTATATATATATATATATATATATATATATATATATATACACGTATAATTACAATAATAATTAAATAAAATAATAAAATAAATAATATGTTTTAAATGAAATTTAAATGAATTATTTATACATATGTGCTGCGCTTCTCCATTCCTCTCGCCCCACCACTTGCCCGCTCGATCCTGTCCCATCCCACCTCTTCAGATCTCTCTCCCCTTGTCTTGTGCCTACCCTAACAAACATCTTTAACTGCTCTCTCTCTTCTGGCACTGTTCCTGCTGACCTTAAACATGCCACTGTAGTACTTATCCTGAAAAAAACATCTCTTGACCCATCCTTCCCCTCTAACTATCGTCCAATATCCCTGCTCCCTTTCTCATCAAAGCTTTTGGAAAGACTTGTCTTTACCCGTGTGTCTCGCTACCTCAATTCCAACTCTCTCCTTGACCCTCTTCAGTCTGGCTTCCGCCCTCTCCACTCTACTGAGACTGCTCTCATCAAAGTCACTAATAGTGATGTACCGAACGGTTCGCTGGCGAAAGGTTCCCGGCAAACATAGCATGTTCGCGTTCGCCACGGCGGGCGAACATATGCGCGGTTCGACCAGCCCCCTATTCGTCATCATTGAGTAAACTTTGACCCTGTACTTCACAGTCAGCAGACACATTCCAGCCAATTAGCAGCACACCCTCCCTAGCAGACCCTCCCACCTCCTGG